CCATTCAGTGTGTTTTTGGACCTTGTTCCAGCTACATTTTGTTCTCCAAAACTCACTAACCACCTACAATATTTTTTTTCTAAAAAAAACGCAAGCATGTACATCCATCTTTCCCATATATTATTGTAGCACAGTTTGTGCTGAATACAAAACAATAAATGTTGGCCAATGCTATGTGCTAAGTAGCTAAAATAAGCACAAATGTCAGGACATGTCAAAACATTTTAGGGGTCCCAAAATCACCTCAGACCCCAGAGGGTTAAATTTAAATAAACTGAGCATTTTTATGTGGTCTTGTAACATCTATTGATTATTCACACAGACTCAAAATTCAGACATTCAGCAGAGGCTTTTATTCAGAGTGATTTGAATTTAAATATCTTTGAATAACATTTTATTTTCTCGTTTACTCAAATTCTGCAATTGGCTTGAACTTTAAAGGCATTGTCGTTTCATTTCTAATGGCACGCAGCCTTGTTCTGTGCACAATTCTCTGTGTTTCTCTGTCTGGCTGTCTTCTCATATGTATCTTTCCTTTTCTTCTCTTCTTTTCTCCTTTCTCTGCTGCTGACACTAACGTCCCTCAGACTGGCACTATGAGGGTAAGACTGCTTTTCTTTCCTCTTTCACATCTTTTTTCCACTCTCCACTCATTCACCTGTTAAAGTCGTTCAACACTTCTGTACTTAAAATATCGATCGGGGTGTCAAACTTCAATTATGTTGAGAAGAAAAAATTTGTTGATTAGTTTGCGCACAAATGTATTATTGATACAAATATTAACCTTACTAACCACTTTATGATTTATATGAAAAAGGTAATAAAAAGTACAAATTTTTGGGGGGTTATTCATTTATTTATTTGTTTATTTAATTATTATTTTTATACTATCTCAAATGTATTCAGTCATTTATTTATTTATTGTTTTTATGATATCTCAAATGTGCTCATTTATTTATTTATTTATTCATTCATTTATTCATGCAATTATTTATGTATTTATTTATTCATTTATTTAGGCATTTTATTTTTTATGTATTTTATTTATTTATTTATTATTTTTATGATATCTCAAATGTGTTCATTTATTTATTTATTTATTTATTTTTATGATAATTCAAATGTGTTCATTCATTCATTCATTCATTCATTTATTGTTATTTTTATGATAACTCAATTGTGTTCATTCATTCATTTATTAATTTATTTATTTATGCAATTATTTATGTATTTATTTATTTATTCATTTATTTAGGCATTTTATTTTTTATGTATTTTATTTATTTATTTATTTATAATTTTTTTGATATCTCAAATGTCTTCATTTATTTATTTATTAATTAATTTATTTATTAATTTATTATTTTTATATCAAATGTGTTTGTTTGTTTATTTATTTATTTATTTATTTTATTATATCTCAAATGTGTTTATTCATTCATTCATTCATTTATTAATTCATTTATTTATTTATTGTTATTTTTATGATAACTCAATTGTGTTCATTCATTCATTTATTAATTAATTTATTTATGCAATTATTTATGTATTTATTTATTGATTTAATAATGCATTTTATTTTTATGCATTTTATTTGTTTATTTATGTATTTATGCATTTAGAAACCATCAGCATGGCAGCAAATCCCTGTCTTAATAATTGATTAATTTATTTTTAATAGAATTGATTCTTTCAAAACTGCAAATTCAATTAGTTGAGCAAATGCATAATTGAATCATTGACTCAAACGATTTACTTAAAACAGATTATTAATTTGGGTGACTCTCCTGACGAACAGATTACTGACTTAAATGATTTGTTTGAAACTTTTTTTTTAAGTTATAGCTTACAGTGTACATTATTTTATGTGCTATTATAAACCATTTCAATGTGTTAATGTTATTGGCCCCTGAACATTTCCTGCTTTTTATAAAGCTATTTCATAACAGTAATAAGAGGCATTTTAATCATATCTTTATGGTAAAAAAGCTGTCATAACGTTATTTATAAACATGTCAACCTTTTTGTATTCTCAGAAGCTATGGAACTAAAATGAACTAATAAGTTAATTTGTTCATGTTATCTTAACACAAATTGATTGTGTACAACCCAGAATATATAAAAAATGCTGGGTTCCAAACAATCAACTTGTCTTGCAACAACATAAAGGAATTAAGTTCAATTCAATTCAACTTTATTTAAGTTGACTTATTAGTTTTTTACAAATTTAGATGGATTGAACATAAAACCATTAATTTGTGCCAAAAAACCCTAAAAAATCAAGTTGTTTTAACTTATTTTAAATAAGTAGTTTGAAAAACAGCAAACATTTTTTTCAGTGTATAAAAATAAATATATGATTATAAACAAACAGTAATGTGTTGTGTGCAGATTTAAGTCTGACTGTTTTTCCTTCTCTTTCTGTTTCTGACAGAGTGTAAATTGTCACGATCGGGTCCGCCTGCCACTATCGTCACCATTGATGAGGAAAGTCCGAATGGTAAGTCTCTGTGTCCTCATGAGGAATCTAAAGCTGCTGTCTGCTGTCTGCTATCGATCAGAGTTTGGCACATGGTTTATTATGAAGTTAATTTGATTTTCCATCATGTAATTCAGGATTTCCCTGCTGTAGGTTCATAAAGCCCTGGAGGCTCATGGAGATTATGATAGAAATGTCAATGTCAGATGAAATTAAATGTGTACCACTGTTCAAAAGCCCTGTATGGGGTGTGCAGTTTTAAGTTTTTACCAAACAAGGCTGCAATTATTCAATAAAAAATGGTAATATGAAAATAAAACTGTTTGCTCTATTAATATTAATGCATTTAAAATTAATTTCGGTGTAAAATTTGAATCTTCACTGCCATGTCGTCTAAATAAGTCAATTTCATGATTTGAAAATAAATAAATATTTTGTACATCAATAATGTTGAATGTAGTTGTACTGCTTAATGTTTAAATGGAAACTGTTGGGAACCTGCTTTAATTCACATGAACATTTTAATATTAATATTATTATATGACAATAATATTAGTGAAATTAATTTAAAAACCGAATGAATATAAATTTACACACATTTACACAAGTAAATACATAGACTCATTAATGGGCTAAAAATCTTTGAAAATCTGCAGATTTCTGCACGCACAGATTCCGTTTGGGCCTAATCATGAGGAAACAAATCATTTGGCATACAGAAAAAGCAACAACACATATTATTCCAGTTTTATTCTGAAAAGGGACTAATGTCATAATATAATCTAGTCCCATTCAACTTTATTAATAATCATAAAGACATAAAGAATTATATGTGTTACTCCATCCTTGAAAATCCACGCCTTCGAAACCCTAATTAATTTTTCTATATTTTTCTTAGTTATCATTCTTTAATGTCAGTTTTGATGAACGTAATGCATTCTTGCCGAAGGAAAGTCATTAGGAGGAAAGTCAAAAATACTTTTTTTATAACATTACCTTTAAATGTAGATTTTAATGTCTAAAATTGCATCAGTCTTACATTTAAATAGGAGTTCTAATAGTGCTGCTGCCATTATGGACTTGAATAATGCCTCAAATCTTGAAACGAATAAATAGAGATGTGCTTTTACTTTTCTAATGGATTGTCACCTAAAAAAATAAATTGGAAGAAAAATAAAATGAATGGTCCACAGTCTCAAACGCTCCACAGCCCGAGCTTTGACATAAAAAGCATCCGTCAGGTAACATTATAAGTCCATTTCATGCTTTTAAGAGCTTCCCGAAAAAGCTGTAGCGAATCAGTGGTGGCGGCATGGTGGCTCAGTGGTAAACGCTGCCGTCTCACAGCAAGAAGATGCTGGTTTAAGTCCCGGCTGGGCCAGATGGTATTTCTGTGTTGAGTTTGCATGTTTTCCCCGTGTTCGAGTGGGTTTCCTCTGTTTCCCCACAGTCCAAAGACATGCCCTGTACGTGACTTGGGTAAACAAAATTGTCCATAGTGTGTGTGTGTGTGTGTGTGTGTGTGTGTGTGTGTGTGTGTGTGTTTGGATGCATGCAAGAGTGTGTGGGTGTTTTCCTGTACTGGGTTACAGCTGGAAGGGCATCCGCTGCGTAAAACATATGCTTTAATAGTTGGTGGTTCATTCTGCTGTGGTGACCCCTGATAAAAAAGGAACTAAACTAAAGGAAATTGAATCAATGAATGAATGTTGCTTGCCAAAAAAAGTTAGACCTAATATACCTTTGAATGGCTGACAATATGCAATGATTGTTTTTGCATTAGGACAGTATATTTGCAACATTTATCAGCTTACCTGTCAAATATGCAATGTGATCCGTTGTAATGCTTTGTTCTTTTGTTTCCTTTCCCTGTTTAAGATGCAAGATGTATCTTATACAGTATATTACTTTACTATCTATATGATCTGCCAAGTGACAAAGCCATTGTCTCCCACAAAAGTGATTTATTCTATCTACCAGACAGCAGTGCTTCGGATCTGCACTTTGCGAGTGCATTGATCCATGTCCAGATATTATTTCTGCAAATGTATGTCACAATGTAAAATATTAGCTAAATGGCACCCAAAGGCATACGCAAAAATAAAGAAAACAGGGCTTTAGTTAATTGTAGAGTTGCTGCTTTCTCATGGAGATGAAAAACTTAACACTGTGAAACATTTAACTTGTGAGGTTGGGTGTGATCGATCTTATTGATCATCAGAATCTTGGTCAGAATGTGACTCGCTCTCAGATTGAAACGGCACAAACCAAGGCGGTATCAACTGTTTGTGTTTACAAAGCCTCACCTTTAGCGTGATTGATGCTAGGATACAGCTTTGGCTGGAAGTTAGTGAGAATTATTTCTGCAATTTGTAAATAATTCTTATTAACTTCCGACTGAATCTGTATCCCTTTTAGCTACAACAACCCCATTAATTGTATTTTATTAACATCTACTCATACTCCTACAAGAGCAAGCTCATGATTGGTTAACGCAGCGCAAATGGTCACTGAAGTTCCGATTTTCCAACTCAAGCAAGTCGCACAAAACACTCAACTTGCACTGATTCATTTGTGTAAATCACGTCATTCGCACCGCCTCATTTATGCAAATTTTGCCGCTGGATGTCTATTTGCATCTTTGCATTCACTTAACATTTAAACCACTTGCGCTTGATGCTTCATCCGGGTTTAGTGTGAACACAGCATTACACAGAATAAAGCATAAAGCAGAATAAACTATTTTATATATTAGCATTCTAAGCAGTGACATGGACATTACATACATTATTATCTGGAGAACTATAAGAGTACTCAGAAAACAACATGACTCTGAAATTGCCTACTACTCAGTGGGTACAGCATTTTAATTTAAACAAACTGCTCGACCTTTAAAAAAAAGTACATTCTTTACAGTATAAATGTCTGTAGTATGAATGGAACTTTGAGGTACTACATCTGCCATTTTTTCAACATCACGTGACCTACCAGCATCAGTTGCTTCACTCCTATTCATCAATTCGCTTGTGGTGCATCATGCTATAGCGCAGTGTCCATCGGATGCACTCTTCAGAACCTCGCCGAAAGTATTAGGTCATACGGGTACTTCTCACATGCTGTTTTTTGAAATTCTATGAATTTGGACATACTACTCTGCATGCTTTTTAGTGTACTATATACTGACACCCTTGTTTTTTGTGATTCCACGACGCAAAATCAACAAAAAGTCGGCAAAATTTTGCGATCCTGCAAAATTAATTAAATTAAACACAAAATAATAGCAAAAAAAGTAAGTAATTTCATTTAAAAAAAATCCAAATCCAAACTATATAATCAAATTTAATTTATTTCAGTTTACAATTTATTGTTTTACGTGATTTATAGACATGGTATACACAACGCACGTAATGTACTGTATGTGCAATAAGAAGACGCAGATGAAGCGTGAGTGATTTACATGTGAAGTCAACGCAAAGTTTGGATTAGATATCCTGTGGTGCGAATTATTATTAAACATAATTATTATTATTATGTTTAGAAATATGTTGAAAAAAACATCTTCTCTCTATTAAACAGAAATTGGGGATAAAAATAAACGCTGGATTAATAATCCAGTGGGGCTAATAATTCTGACTTCAACTGTATATATATAGTTGAAAAATTGACCACAAATGACTGCAAAAAATCCCAAAGAAATCGTGAAAACCTAAGGGGTCTGTATATAGTATGGAAGTAAGTGATTTCAGACGCACCTATTATTTTGTCGTTTTTTTTTTTTTTTTTTTTTTACTTGGTCAAACTACTTAGTAAAAATAAGCTGAAACAACAAAGTTCTTGAGATTTTATTGGCACAACTTAATTTTTGTATGTTCAATTCATATAAATTTGCTAAAAGTGTTCAGTTAAATTAACTGATTTGTGCTGGGACAACATGGCTGAATCGTGTGGAACACTGCATTTTTTACTGTGCAAATGCTGTCAGAGGATCTTTTTTTTATTTGCTGGCGTTTTTTTTAAATTTCATGTGTTTTTTTGTTATTTTTAATTAAGGCAAGGCAAGGCAAGGCAAATTTATTTATATAGCACATTTCATATACAGTGGCATTTCAAAGTGCTTTACATAAACAAGAATAAAAGAAACAAGTAAAATAATAATAATAATAATAAAACTGATTAAAAAACATAAAAACAGGTAAAATGTGATATAAAAGAATGAAGAAGAGGAGAAAAACATGATAGTGCAATCTGTCGGACGCAGCACAGTGCTCATTCAGTAAAGGCACAGCTAAACAGATGTGTTTTCAGTCTTGATTTGAATGTGCCTAATGTTGGAGCACATCTGAATTACAGCTATTAAGCTCTCTCAGCCACCTTAGAAATAATATATCGTAAGAAATATCGTTATCACAATTCTCAACAATAGTATCGGATATTTTCCTACTATCATGCAGCCCTAACTGTTGTCCAGGGTCGCATATGGCCTCTTTAATTTTACTTTTAGATGTTCAGGTCAGTCTCAAACCTCACAGACGTTAAACTGCAAAGCTCAGACAGATACCTGTTGCTCTCTTGGCTGAGATTGTGTGCGTGCGTGTGTGTGTGTTAGTGTTTTCTCACTGGAGCCACAGATGGTGTTTTTGTGTTGAAGGCACGCTGGGGCCGTTTATCACATACAATATCGGCGCGCAGGCGATGCACCACTGCGTCATGTGTTTATAAAAGAGCCACTCACCGCTGTAGTGCTCAACCAAGCGTTTGACAACACTGCCTGTTTGTTGATGCGACAGGTGTACAGGCTACAACATACAACTTTACTGTCTGTTTCCTCCTTCCATCCTTTAGTTTCTCCCTCTTCGTTCCCTTTTCCTCTGCTGTGGGTCAGAGAGTTTGTTTAGAAATCCATGTGTTGATTCAGGAAGGTGCATCGAGGCAGAGGCCTGCTGGGAAATGTAGTTGGAGTAATCGGGTGCCGTTTTAAATGGATATTTTTGTTCGGTCTGTTTTTGTGTTTAAATAATTAG